TTTTAATTTTCAAAATTAATGTATAAATTAAATATTCAAGAAACAATTCAATTGTATCCTTTAATAACTACTGATGCAGCAACAAGACAAATGAGATTTGAAAAACTCTTTTCGGCACTAAGGCTTTTAAAAGTTATATTAGATGAACAATGAAAGAAGATATCATAGAAATTATTTTATTTTTAAGATAAATAAGATTTGATGTATTACAAATACATTATATTTATAATAAAAATATACAATGTACTTCACTTAAGTTATACCTTTTAACTGTTATTTTTATGGAAGATATATTTTTTTTTGCAAGCAAATTAAGAGTACAAATATATTCTTTAAGTGAGTGCAAACACTGCACCTTTAAAGTTGTAATATAGTATAACAATTTTAATGTACATAGTGCAATAACTGTGTTTATAGATAGTTTATAAAATAACAAATTATATTTAAAAAAAGAATTTATTAAACAAATTTTTCGAAATCCGTTAGTAAGGATCAAAACAGATAAAATTACGGTTAAGAGTCAAGAATTAGGAGTCGGAATAATAAATATTCCATGGCACCACCGGGACTCAAGCCCGAAATCTGGGGCACCGACCACTAGAGCGCTCTAAAATAACTGTTTTGTTATTGTAGAAACATATTTTGTAAAGATTAACAATTTTTTTAAAGAAATAGAAGACTCTTATTTTAATTATTAGTTTCTAAGTATTATTTTTTGGCCTTATTTTATAAACCTTGTTTTTTTATTGATTGATATTTTCAATATTGACAAGTAACATGATAATTGCCACAACAATTAACATTTTATGGTTATAAATATACAAATATTTATTATTTTAATTAAACCTTTTTCATGCGTTTGAACGAAAATAGTCGTTTAGTTTGTTGAATGCTCTACATTGTTACCTGCAAATCAATGTTGGTAGATTGCAATATAAATTAACATTACATAAACTAATACCTCTCTTCCTGGAACCCAATGAAAAGGTTTTATTATATTCAACCCTGGCATACATCCCGGAAATTATGGGTCTAACATGCTTACAAAATTTTTGTCTCCGTTTAGTTCAGAGTACTAATCACCACCAGGCCATTATTAAAGTAAAAAGATTCACAAGTCATCAATAATTTATCAATCAAAAATCAATGAATAATTTATATATTTGTCAAGTAGAGGCATTAATTATGATTTATCTGAGAAACAAATATAGCCATCAACAAACACGTGTATTAGATCTCCGATACGACATGAAGTCGCCAACATTAAAACACCCAAAAACCAATTAGGCTAACCACGGACATGGCAGTTGCTACAAAGAGCGACACTTTATTTTCCGTGCGTATTAATGGCGTAAAAGGATAACGGCAAATTATATCAACACAATGATGCTGTCTTCCTTCCGTTCCAGCGCATACAATCGGAGATTAAAATCAGCCGACTTATTGTCCTAGATGATCAGCTTGGACAATGGCAGCGATGTCCTCTTGCCGGCAGATTAAGGGCATTGTGGCAGCATTAATCACGTCTCCCCAATTTTTTTTTTTTGCTGTTATTTCTGTAACTAACGGTGCCCTGAATAGTGATCTACATTCAAGTCCAAGTTTGGTTTATTTTGGTGTACGTCAATAGTGGAACAACAACATTGTGCCAATAGTTATGTTTCTAATGTTCTTATGGAATATTAATATTTTGACGAAGGACGATCTTTTGACGAATTTTTTTATGTTCACCTGGAACATCAATATTATGCCGACAGTGTTTTCTTAATGTTCATATGGAACATCACTATTATGACGATACTGTGTTTCTTAATGTTTATATGGAACATCAATAGTGTACTGAAAGCACGTTATCAATGTTCAAATGGAATATCAATACTATGTTGACAGTGTGTTTTTTAATGTCCATATGCAACATCAATAGTGTGCTGAAAGTATGTTATTATTGTTCACATGGAACATCAATAATATACTGAAAGTATGTAATGTACTGTTATTAATGTTCTTATGAAACATCAATATTATGTCGATAGCGTGTTTCTTAATGTTCATATGGAACATAAATAGTGTACTGAAAGTATGTAATTAATGTTCACCTGGAGAATCAATATTATGTCGATATTTTTAATTTTTAATAACGTATCCTTACCAATTACAAAAATCAGAGTGAGAAAATCATGACTGAACGCCTTAAGTCAGAATCCCGTCTAATCACGATCACACCTCGCGCGTTGGTAGACCACTTTAGCGGAAGTGTACATCCGACCCAGACAACTCTGGCCAGGAGGGCCATTGGTACTACAGGCTTCAGGTTCGAATCCTGGCGGTGGCATGGATGTTTGTGAGTGGTTCGGAATCCACGTAAAACTGTAGGTCCAGGTCTAATTAGCCCAAAGTGTGCATAAAATGACTGTAGAGCGATAAATCAAACCAAACCAAACTGGCGACGAGGCCTGTTCGATGTGGAGCATTCTAGGGGTTGCCGAGTCTGTGCGGCCCCGGTCAGGATCATGATCTTTTGGAAGTGATGCGTAGATGCTCAAATCGTCTGAGGACGACTTGGGTATTGATCTGGGTGTTGTAAGTAGTACCGCCACCGACTCGAAACTCACTAAAACTTGTGACACAGAGTGGCGGCCTGGTGGCTAGCGCTCTGGCCTTTGGTATCACAGGCTTCAAGTTCGAATCCTGGCGATGGCATGGATGTTTGTGAGTGGTTCGGAATCCACGTCCCAACTGTAGGTCCCGGTCTCATTAGCCTCCGTGTGCACAAGATGATCGTAAAGCGACAAACCAAACCTTGTGACACCGAGCGCCAGACATTCGGCTGTCAGACCCCAACTTAGTTATTAATAGTGATTATTTTTTTTGAATAGTAACATAGCAATTATTAATTTTTAATTGATTATTTATTTGATTATATTTTAGCACAGCTAACCCTCTTTTGACAATGCTAATTTACGTTTTACAGATTTCATAGCTTTCGGTTATTACTACTGTCAATCTTGACTTTTTTTGAACAAAGTTGAAATATCTTTTTTCACATCCTGTGCGAAGGAGGCGCGTTGTTAAGCAGAGCACGTTTTTAATGACTCCACTGGCTATTCGTAGAGAAACGTGACCCTTCCACGCTTTGGCGCTTCTAATGGTGAGCAGGTTTCGTGAAATATGAGATCTGAATTGGCACCCGAAATTGGCGTGGATGGAGTCTGTGCTTGTTTCAAAACAAGAGAGAGAGAGAGAGAAAGTTCTTTTTGCTAGACCAGTTCACATTTTGAAGCGAAGAAACAGTAATAACACAATAAAAATACAATAAATTATATTTAAACCACAAATGTTTCGTGGAGAAATACCTCAATGAATTCAACTGCACTAGATAAGAATTATTTTAACTTTTTTTTTATGAAATAAAATGTGTTTGTTTTACATAGTATTTAAACTAAGAAATTACATTATACTTGAAAGCATACGTTATATATATATATATATATATATTGGAATGCCAAGTATATTGGAATGCCAAGTGCTTAGAGTAGAACTTCTGTCTTGGTTGGAACGAGACATCTAATATGATCTAAATTGAACCACGTTTTCGAAAGGAATATGATTCTGTTGCCCAAGATCATGTCTTGGGCGAAGCGAAGTATCCTTTACGCCGGTACTGAACTCGAAGTCATTCCCCTTTGATATGAGATTCGGTATCACTCAAAGCATCAATACATTAACAAGACAAAAAAGTCCGCCTCGTGGCTCAGTGGCAACGTGCGCCGCTAATGAGCATTGGGCGAAGGACACTGTTGTTGTAGACACCGTTTCAAAAACAAAGGAATCTCGATGTCGTTTGGGATGTTCAGCATCTTGCCTTGTGAGTTGGACTGCCTGGTGGGCTTTTTCCAGGTTTTCTCTCCTACGATAAGCAAATGCGGAGTAGTTCTCCCTAAAACTTCTCCCGTAAGGCACTGTCCTCCTTCTTCAACGACATGGAGCCGTGTCAGACTTCAACCTACAGCTGCTCCATCAAAAACATGAGTTGCCTCCCGCCCTTTCCTATCTTCCATGAGAACACACAAATTCTTCGACTTGGTCTGGATGTTGCTGTCGACCAAGTGGGATAAAAACAACAAGAGAGAAAATAAAGAAATAAATTCTGGGATTTTTTTTCAAAATAACTAATTAATACAATAGACAAAACTTTTATGTTATACGGAAAGAAAACTGGGAAATATGCATTTTTTTAGTTTTGAAATAAATTTCTAGAACAGGTGTGGAAAACTCACGGCCCACCTTGAATATTTATTGTGTCCCATGAGATGTATCACTTTTACAAAATGTATTTATTTTATAATGGGCAAAGTAAGGAAAACCAATGTATTAAAAAATACATTATGTGTGCATCCCTATAGTCAAAAATGAATAGTCGAAATAATGAGAAACAATTTAATTTTGCGTGTATTAAGAAAAATATAAAAACTATACCCAAACTGTTCCGTTTGCTGCAAGATAATATCTTACTCATACTACATACATAATAAATCACATATCTACATAATCTGCGTAATAGCTTGCCAAAATCTGCAAATAATACATCTGCCTGCAACCGTGGAGACCGGTGAATATTTTTCCGACCCAAAATACATTTATTTTATAATGGCCAAAGTAGTCAAAACCAATGCATTAAAAAAATAGATTATGTGGGCTACCGATGTATTGAAAAATGAATTGTCGAAATGAAGACAAAAATTAACTTTCATTTTAAAAGAATATTCTTGCGAATAGAGGACAGATATTACCTGATTTTATTTATGAGTTTACAGTTATGAGTGCGCAAAATAATTAAATTATTGTCTGCGAACTCATGATACGAGCTCATCTTGGAACATCTAATATAATAGGTTCTATGTTTCACTTTAAGTCCCCGCAGTGAACATCCCTAAATATGCGCAGTTGTGCATCTAGTATCATTACTATTATATTATTTACTTTTACATGTAAGAATAGCCAACGGCTATACCATGCTGAATATACCGGTTCTCGTTAGATCACTGAAGTCAAGCATCATTGAGCGCAGTCAGTACTTGGGTGGGTGACCACCTGGGAACACCGCGCGCTGTTGGCATTCACACCTTTGGGACCTGAATGGCGGAGTGTCTAGGCCACAGGTTTCGGGTTCGAGTCCCGGTGGTGCCATGGGTGTTTGTAGTGGTTCGAATACCCTTAAGCCGTAGGTCCCGGTCTCACATGACTGTAAGAGCGTCACGGAGCCAAAGTCAGGCTTCTACCTACGGGGTGCTCCATCACAACAGAAGCTGCTTCCTTCCCCTTCAATCATGAGTACGTATGGGCTCGTGGGCTTGGCCTAGAAATGTCTGGCAAGTGGGATAAGAAACAACAGCACATGTAAGAATAATAGTAAACACAAAAATAATAACCCATTATGTATCCATTAGGCCTGAATGGCTAGCGCTCTGGCGCTCGGTACCACAGGTTTTCGGGTTCGAGTCCCGACGGTGCCATGGATGTTTGTAGTGGTTCGGAATCCACTTTAAACCGTAGGTCCCGGTTTAACACGATCGTAGAGCGTTGTGGAGAGTGACATATTAAAAAAATATGGAAAACTAACTGTTCATATATATATAGTGATTAGGGGATTATAGTCCTTGTAGCTTCACATCCCCATATACCACTTCATTCGTCATCATATGTATCCATTTTTCACTCCAAAAAATGTCTATAGTGGGTCTAATTATCATGTGGGGATACATAATTTTATAGGCGGCCCATGGAGTTAGGATACATTTACAAAGTGACCGCTAAATCATTTGGGTTAGCCACCCTGGTCTAGAAAGTAGTAGCATTTTTCAGTTTTGAAATAAATTTCTAGAAAGTAGCAGTATTTATAAATATATAATTTTATACAATTAAAGTAAGGCTCCTCTTCGAGGTTGCTTTGATGTTAAGATGATTCTGGCAAATTTTATTTTTTCATTTTTTATCTCAGAGTTAAATAAAATAATCTTTTAAAATGGTATGATTTTTTAATTCATTTAAAATCCCTATAAAAATGTAACTGAAATTTATTCGGTACGATAAAAAATATCTAAAAAATGTTACTTCTCAAGTTTAGAATGTTGATGCATCAACAGAACTGAAACAAGAGTTACGAAATTACCTTGTATGGAATGAAAGTTGTTCGAAAAGATAAAAAAAAGAAAAAGAACGAATACGTAACACCTGCAGAATGAAGAGAGAATTATGTAATCCAACCCGATCACACTTTCAGAATTAATGATTTCAGACTCTTTTTTTTTTTTTTTTTTTTTTTTTCATCTCATACAAAAGAACTTGATGTCTGAGAATATCAAGTTAAGAAATTATCAAGTTAAAAACGAAAATGAAGAGAAGGAAGATTGGTACGTGTTCAACATAGGAATCAGAATTATTTATTATGATGTGAGTCATTTCGCTTTTTTAAATTTCTCTGACCTGCTGCGAGAAGGAAAAGGGATTTTTAAATTATATATATATATTTAAATATATATGCATATAATTAATGAATTTTTTTTAATGTAATGTTTTAAAATGGATATACTTTGTTTGGAGCAAAAATAAGTTAAGATTCTTAACCATTAGTTGACTAGCAGTAAATTTGGTACTTACGTATTAACGGTACCTTGGCGACAGTTGCGCCAATAAAGAGCACACGCGCCAACCGCAGCTACAGATTTGGCGGTTTTTAAGTGGCACCAATCTATTCTATTGGTTTGGTAACCTTAGTAGCTGTTAGATTGGCGACACTTAAAAACCGCCAAGTCTGTCGCCAAGGTACCGTTAATACGTAAGTACGGTAAATTTTGACCCACCTTTTTCACAAAATCCAAAATGCAACAGTTACGGAAATTACTTAATATTCAATAGAAAAGGCAACAAAATTTTTAAATGCAACGTTATCTTATAACAAAAAAAAAAAAAATTTTATCACACAGTTGTAGAATTTCTTCAAACTAATCCTTTATTAAAAAAATCCCAACAGATATTGCAGCTCATTTGAAAATAATAAAAATCAAAGAAACGTAACATTTTATTTATTTATACAAAGACTTAAAATTGAAAAGAAACGATGTCATTTTTAAAAATTTCATAACTGTGCGTTTAATTTGTAACATTACGTAACAAACTGAAATGCAATTATAATAACGTAACAATTCATGTAAGAAATTTAACATTTACTACAACCCAAATCCGATGAGGAATAACTGCGGTTATCTATCGTTCGAACTTTCTGTTATTTCACCTGCTTTTTTGTACACAAGAAAGCGGGTCAACACGCCTGGTTCAATGAAAATTAACAGTTACGGTTGTAGCAGGTGTTTTCAGCGCATTCGTTAAAGATCCGTTCAAGTTCCCTTTTGTTTGATCGAACAACAGTTGAGAAAAATCGTTAATATTGAATTTCATTACTTCTATGTAAATGGTTGGCCACACTTTTATGAATTAAATGATTTAAAGAGGAATTAAATATAAAAACAATTCAGAAATATATATGTATATAATAATTAAATATATATAATTATTTATATATTATGATATAATAAATACAAAATTCCTGTGTATATAATGACAATTTAAATTCAATTATATAACATACCGAAACTATTTGTATAAATTTGGTATGTCTACCAAACAAGATTTTATAACATATAAAATATTCTGTTTTTTTATTGAATTGATAAAATCATAAGCAGTTTAATATTGTATACTAATCTAAAAGCATCGAATTAATAAAAATGAATAATAAAGCTAATGTTAACTATTATTTAAGAAAAAATATTTATAAATATGACCACTTCGTTGATAATAACAATAACAAAGTGTTTGTTATTAAATTGAAAGGAAAAAAGGGATTAAGATTTTATGATTAATGCAAACATAATAACAATATGAAAAATAGAAATTTAAAACAGACGTTAATTTTTATAGCTTTTATCTTTACAGCCTTTATAGATTGTAGGAGAAAGAAAAGAAAATAATGTAAATCTTCCTTCATGATTGTAGCAGTTTTTGTTGTTAGAAGTTATTTCATTTGTTATTATATTTACTGTAATGGTATTTTGTATAACTTGATTCGTCGTCCATTAAAAAATTTCACCGTAGAAAAACACATTTCAATTCAACTATGGGCCACGTCAGCTATCCATTGCTGAGTTTCAAGTTTAAAAATATTTGGAAAATTAACAAAAAATGCGGTTTTAATTAGCTAGATTTTATTTTTTCCTTCATAATACATTTTATTCTTTTAGAAACTGATACATTTATTGAAATTTATAGATGTTATACGTGCTATTAACATTTTATTTTAAAGAAAGAAAGCGTTAAATTTAAAGAATAAAGTAACTTTTAAAAAAAATGTTTTAAACTAATTTTTACAATTTTAATAATTTATAATCAAACCGCTTTGAAACTTAAATTTATGGGTTAAAAATATTCCACGAAAAAAAGTATTATAAGGTCTACTAAAAATGAAAAATCAAATGAAAATTCTACAAGTCAACAGTCAGATCAAATGAATATTCTACAAGTCAATATCTGTAATTAAAATATAATTAATAAACAATATGCAGAATGCAGTTTTTTTTTTAGTTTTCATAAAAAAAAAATTATACTGCTTTATAGGAGTTCAATTTAAAAATCGGGAAAAAATCCGAACCAAATATTCCCATGTTTAAGCATGATAAATCAGTAGGTTGGAATATCCTTCTGTTGGATCAACGAGAAGGCAGAATGATAAAGCTAACCAGATTCCATCCTACTCTAAATTGTGTTGGAACCAGGAACCAACGTTACCTCACTGTAGGGATATATTTTTTTGTAATATAGTCAACGTACTTCACGAATTCAAAGTAATCATTTAATTCTTTAATTTACTGGTAGTTTTACTCAGGAAACACCATTGTGGTGCATCAACGTTATTCCCTATGAAAAATATATAATCTAAGAAGAACTTTAAATAAATAAATAACTTTAAACCCTGGAAAATTCCTATACAAAGCAATTCAAGTTGATCTAAAGCCTCGTGTTATAACTTATGAATTATTCTTTTTGCAAAGAATTGATTGTAGTTTCCCCTATTAGGGAAGAATTGAATCTTTAAGGAAAAAAATTGGGAAAAAGGGGAGTGAGGTGAACTGCACTGAAATTAATCACCTGTTAACTATTATTGAGTTACGGGTGCATATAATTTTTGGAATCCATAATCTTAATTAATTAATAGTCTTTGGTAGTATTTAATAGTAAAAATATTAGTCTTTAATAGCAATAGTCTTTAGTGATCTTTAATAATAATAGCCTGTAGTAGTCTTTAATAGTAATAGCCTTTAATAGCTATAATAATAATAACACTTAGTAGTCTTCAATAGCAATAGCCTTTAATAATAATTACATTTAGTAGCCTTCAATAGTCTTTAATAGTAATAGCCTTTCATAGTCTTTAATAGTAATTATCTTTAGTAGTCTTTAACAGTAACAGTCTTTAATAGCAATAGTCTTTAGTACTAATATACTTTATAATTCCGCAGTCTTTTAAGAATCCATAATTTGTCTTTTTGTGGCAGACTTTCATATCAAACCAACAACAATCACAACACTTTTAGCAAACACCATTAAGAAATACATTACAGCATCTTTCCCACTCCATACACTCGTTCCTTTGTTACAGAATTCCTTTGTGTAAATTTCTCATCTGCGTGATTAACCAGTCTGCTGGGAAGAAGAAGAAGAATAACAACAACAACACAAGTCAATAAAGATAAATTATTGCCGAAAAGTTCCAAAGCACTCTCCGGCAGAGAGCTGCCAGTTTCAAACTAATGACCCTGGTTCGAAACACACTTTCGAAAAAGCGACTCATTATTCGGTCATCACCGGGTAGGAGGGACAAATGACTCCCCACACCGCATGGATGGCCACAGGTTCTTGACCCGTTTTCCTTGACTTGGCACGATGGACACCCGGGAAATCGACAGCGATTTTCCGAGGAAGATAAGTCTTCTCCGCTCCAATCGCTCGGGAATAGATCGCGGCATTCCTTCCCTTGATCTTCGGCACGATGGACACCG